AGAAAATGGAAATAGTTTCTTACGTTTTTTTTTCCTTGCTGGTTTCAAAAGACAAAAACTTCGCATATTTTGTTTGAACTGTCTACATGACTATTGGACGCGTAATACATCAAATTAATTTATTTTAGATTGTGAAAAAAAAATGTGAATGAATTTCAGTTCATTCTTGTGATATTGATAAATTTGATGTTATTTTTATCAAATCAATGTCCATTTTAATAAACTATTACACACTGTATTCAGTTTTAAAAAATAAAACTTTTGGAGAACTTACTGAAGTTAGCTTTTTTTCATTTTTCAATGTATAATTTCATGTTAATGTTCATTCTTTTTGAAGTGTGCTCTTCTTAAAATTAATTTTTTGCATTATTTAAGTAAGCAATGTTTAAAAGCAGGATGTCTCGCATTGACCACCTTTAATATGTATTTTTGGAATCGTTACTAAAAATGCAGACAAAAAAAATAGTATACTTATTGGGGTTTAGCAAACTAATATTTAAAATAAGAAAAAACAATAAGGCTATCGAACTATGACCAATTACAGTTGAAGAAGACAGACTATAGAGTTAAAATTTGACTTCAAGGCTTTTTTCATTTATAAAAACTTGATTTTTCTTTACTTTTCTGCTTTAAGTAATATCTATTTATCTGTTTGCTTAAAAAAAATGCCTTCATCTCTCTTCAGATCTTCATTTCATAAGTTCGCGCTTGACTTGATGTCAAACATGACGAAAAATGATTGAATAAAAAATTTTAAAAAAAATTGAATTTATCAAAATGATTAAAAATATAAAAGATTTAAAACAGATAAAAACCGTTTTCAATTTGAATTATACAATATGACCTCATAGATTGTTCACAATTAAAATTACTTCGTATTGTGTCCCACATTCTGTATTCCTATGTTTGATTTTTTTATAGTTTGTCTTCTGTAGGAACTCCCTCCGCCGCAAAGTCTGGAAACAAGAATACAGGGAGAGTAACTTCTCTTCCCCCATCGAAGAAAAAGATTATCTTTCTCTCGTACTCCTAGCAGCAAAATAACCTGGGTCCTCATTGGGTCCAATATTCATGAATCTTGGCTCAATAAGGGTTCAAAATCACCGTTATTTTACCTATATTGGTTCTAGATAAAATTTTCCAATTCACCCGACATTTTACAGCCACTTTACAACCGATATCGGTCTTACGTAATATTGTCAGATTCACCCGATATTTTATATCCATTTTTTGGCCAATATAGGTTCTATATAGGACCAATATTAAAAAAATCTTTACATCCCAATATTAGTACCTCGATGCATGTTCTTATAGGATATATATTGAGCCAGTTTTGAGCCCAACTGGAGTCGAGGTAAAATTGCAGCTTGGACTGTCCTAAACAGTGACCCCACACCCCATAGTCACCGCCACGGGTCAAGACTGATGACTAGGAAAGCTCTTACTTTAGACAAACTATTGTTTGTTTTTCCGAGTAATTGTTCATTCCGTTACAACTATTATGTTTCTGTTACAACTATTATTGTTGTTACAACTGTTATGTTATTATGTTATAAGTGTTCTTAAATTAAATTATGATGATTATTGTGATGCCATTCCATATTTCCTAACTTTTAAAATTTCATAAATTTTATTTTTTAATAATTCTTAAACCAATTATAAATTAAATCTTTTGTTTGATTTTTGTTACATTTTAGAAAAAGCGAATATAAATATTTTATTCTTTTTTTTTTTTAACAATAAACATAAATGCAAATTTTTAATTCGATAAAAGTTAATAACTCATTAATTCACAAAAGTATTTCAGTTACAGGGTTATATTAAATTCTCGCAGTCTTTTTGGGTGATTGAGCAGTCGCCAAATATAATATTAATAACGAGTGGCTGGCTTTGTTTGGCTATATTACCTACGGATATCTCGCCAGCGGTGGATATCTTTCCATACTCCTATGTGTCCGGTAGTAACTATTCATTCACTGGTAATTTAAAATTCTTACCGTTAGGACTAAGGTTTATTTATTTTATTTTATTTTTTATTTATTTATTTTTTGGCCTCTCTGTTTGACCGCTAATAGTCACAAAATAAAATGAAAAAATATAAAAATGAATATCTTCTTAATTATTATTTTATTTTGTTGATCTGACCATATTTGTTTATTTTTAAAAAAATCCAGTTTCTATTTCCTAATCTCAGATGCAATTCCTCTTTCACTAAAAACGTTAACGAACTAGGAATCACCACTGTATCAACAATGCCTTCATGATTCTTTAAACTGTGAACAGGGTGGCCACCCACCTGGAAAACCTATAATTATCAGGGAATTTTTTTATACTGGAGAAAACCTAGAAAAATCAGGGAAATTTGGATAAAAATCTGGAAAAATCAGGGAACTTTAAAGAAAAGCTGGAAATTTTTTCTTTGATAATTTTTTTAATTTCACTAATTCAAATTATTTACTAATTTCCTTAATTTAAATTATTTCATCCATTATACCCACTTTTTTTAGACGGAAATGTATCTCCAAACAGTTGAAATATCATCAACTTAGCGATACTTTGCTTGCATCAAAATTTGCTCCATTACAGTTCTGTTAAACTTGAATGCCACATAAAATTCTCCCTCGGTTGCTGAACGAATGTAGAAACCTTTGACCGCTATGGGACTGTGCAATTTAGGAAAAATTGTGGTGGAGGTGGAAGAAGGGATCAGGATATTAGCTTCTGTTTTTAAATTCTGCCCTTGGGTTGAATCCATTTAAGGCTCAAGTTTGTTCCGATGCTTTCGTGGTAATTTTTTTCTATTTTGACAAAATGTTTTTGCATTTTTAATTTTATAAAATTCTCCAAAAATTAGTTGGTTATAATTTAATAACATTAGATTTTATATTGCACTCTTTTTCTGAAAACTTTTGTATTCAAAGAAATCTGTTTTTCTCAGCAAACCAATCAATCACACATTTTTTTAAAATCGCTAACAGCAATGTTTGCGAACAAATTGTTACAATTGTTGCATTAAAGCTATTTTTTTCTATTTCATTTCAACCTTTTATATCAAATTTTAATTTTTAAAAGAAAGGTTTTCTTAAGAACTAACTATATATTAATATTTAATTTTACTCTTTTGTTCGTCAATATATGATTTTTTATTCAAAATTTTGTACCAAAACATTAAAAAATGACTAAAAAATCTTGCCAAATTGTCAAAATAAATTATTTTTTTCAAGATGATATGTTAAAAAAATAACATTTTGAATAAAATATTTCATAATATTGACACTTTTCTGGTACACATCCTACACTTTTTAAGAAAAAAGAAACAAAAACCTGGAAATTTTAAGATTTTTGTCTGGAAAACCTGAAAAAATCAGAGAAATTTGAAATCTGATTTGAGTGGCCACCCTGATGAAATTTATATTTTAAAAAAAATAAATTTTTACTGTTTTTATAAAAGAGGGGAAAAAAACTAAGTTGTATTCTAAGATACCCGTTAACGTTTTTTTTTTTTTTTAAAAAAGACATATTAATAATATTGCTAATCTATATTACAGTTTAGTGAGTGTATTATGGTTCAACAATGATCCTATTTTTTTCTGAGAATTTAGGAATATTTCACACGTTTATAAAAAATTTATAGTCAATTTAATTTGTTTACTATTCGTAGACATATTTTCTAAAAATTATAATTTTCTTTCTCTTCTAAGTTAATTTGTTCAATGACATATTGATTATTAGACTAATAATAACTGTTTTACACAGTTTTTGTTTGCCTATAGCAAATTTCCGTATTATTGACAATACGAGAATTTTGAAGAGACTGTAAAGTCACTGGCAAAAAGAACAATTTATATACACCCTGACTAAATTATTAGATACACTATAAGATTCTATGTAAAATATTAATTAGCGGGTGATACTATATAGCTTTATTTATTTATTTTTTTTTTCTCAACAGAGCCTGGTTTGCACTTGTTTACGTTCGTGTATCAATTGTTAAAATTAAACGATATATAATATGAATTTCACGATTATATAAATTAGACAATATATTATATAAATATAGAATATTTATTATATCAGGGATTATATTAGTATATTATAATAATGAGATCAAATTATTAGACGCACTGCAGTGATTTAATAATGACGTGATTTGCACGAGTTTATGTGCAATACTTTTATATTTAAACATACATATGTTTTTTTTTTTCATGAGATTTTTTTTATATACTTCCTATTTGTATTTATTTTTAACGTATTGCATTACAATGTTAGCCAACTGATGCTTGAACATAAATAAGTGCAAACCGGTTTCAGTCGTGTAAAATAAATAACACTGAATAGTATCCCCTGATAATTAAGATTTTACAGAAAATCTTATAGTGCGTCTAATAATTTGACCAGAGACTGTATANAATAATCAACAAGACTGGTTGGATTGCTAGAGAGGAAACAAATAGAAATTAACAGACAATCAATTTAAACACCCTAAGCTTCAACCTTTGAATTAAACCAGTGTTTTGATGTTAATTATATTCACTTCTTCTGCCATTTATCAGATATCGTTATCGTTATTTGAAAAGGATTCTAAAGTTCCATATTAAGGGCAGTCTTTCGAAACACCTTGTGTGTTCTTGTTTTCTGAATCTAAAGAAATTATTTATAATGAATACCTGACATACTAGATCAGAAACAAAATGTCTAAAAAAAATTTTTTATCGATTTCAAAATGAAATTTTTTGATAAATCGCAATTTATTCTGTTAATTAATTTCAACAGCAACAACACAATTAATTTCATTTCTTAAGATTTAAGACAAGATTTCTTAAGTATTTGATAAATTAAATTTTGAAAAAAGAAAATGCAATTACATTATATATATGTAATAACTGTAAGCAATACACCGCAATCTGCAAATAATGTTCGTAGTTACTCTTTCTACAACTAATCACTTTCACTGTTTATTCTAAACACTACTTAAACTAAAAAGGAAGAAAAATTACTTGCACCGGCTGACCATAACCAGACACCATCGTTGCCGGACCATTTGTGGAGTACTGCGCGGGTGGCACCGTCCACTGAACGTGATTGGCCGGAACGGACGATGTTGCCGTGCCAACAAAGTGATCGGCAAAGTTGGGCACACCCATCGTCATGTTCATAGAAAGGTTGACGCTCATCGATGTGGGGAACACGGCACTCTGCGTCGCTGTTGGAGAAGTGCTGAAGTCCCCAGCATAGAACACTCCTCCACCCCCGGCATTCCCAGTGCTGGACACCTGAATTTGAGGATAGGAGTTGTAAGCGACGGTGGAGGCTGGTACTGTCTGACCACCGAGAGACAAACCTTGGGTGCCGTTTGGAGAACACAGACTAGATTCTAAGGAGATATCTAAAGGGAAAAAAACGAAATCAAGAAAATGTCATCTCTAATAAAACTCATTTTGAATTATATCAAATTAGTAGAATTTTTATAATACTTAATTAGATAGCAAAATGAAAAGGAATGTACTGTAGGCCAAAAAAAGGATATCACCCTATATGATTTTCGATATAATTAGATCTTCACCTAATAAGATACTATTCAGTATTTTGAAAGACAGGTCAAGCTATGAGGAGTTGTTTCGATCTGTAAATAATTATTTCAAAAATTTGGTCAAAAAGTTTTGTGATGCCACAATAGGCATTACATATATTTCCTAGCCTTTAAAATTTATTTATTTATTAAGCTTATATTTTTTTTAAGTCATTCTTAATCGAATTTTAATTAAATTAAATCAATTATTTAATTTTTATTACAATTTATGAAAAACGAATATAAAATATTTTATTCTTTTCCTGTCGATCAATGTAACTGTTAACTTTTTTTTCAATACTAATGTAGACTCATTAATTCACTAAATCTAAAACAAAAATCTATTTATAACTCTTTATTCTTAATTTCTTTCCACTATTATGTTTCACTTACATGGTTATACTAATTCTCACAGTCTTGTTGGCGATTCGCGATTGCCAAGGTATTTTCAAAGCTAATATTTATTATAGGAACTGGCTTTACTTTTTGGCTATGTTATTTTTCGATAATTTGCCAACCTCAGAGCTCTTCCCATGCACCTAACTGTCCGTTGGGAACACTTCATTAACTTTCAATTTCCAATTTTTGGTGACTGGGGGTGCACTTTTGGACCAAACAGTCCTAACCGTTGAATATAAAAGTCTTAACAATAGTTCTCGATGAAGGAGAATGTTTATCTTGATCCCTTTAAGGGATTCTTTATTTTCGTTATTAATTGTTATGTTTTTGAATTTGGCCATATTCTTCTTAATATTTNTGAAAAGGTGTTTTACCATTTTTTACCCTTCCCTTTATGTTATAGTGGGTACGCAATTACAAAAAAGACAATTTTCATCAACTCTATCTTAACACAATTTCTTTCCTACATATATATAATTAGAGTGCTTTATTTTGAAAAAAAAAAGTATCTTCATATGGGGCCCCCTTGACCGTCGGGGCCCCGGGGCGGTGCCCCGGTGCCCCGGCGTAGTTACGGCCCTGCCCATGACTCATCTCCAGTTATCACGGTGTTCAGAAACCCAGGATCAGTGTTGGCGGTGTCCAAAAGATCCTGTGCAACGTCAAAACGGAGGTCTTTTTGTTCCGACGACAACAACTTTGGTACGAATTTCGCGGCCACTCGGTTCATTTTCAAATCTTCACACAAAGTTGCATGTGCAGAATCTTTACTCACTCCAACTTCTTCTGCAATCAGCCGCACTGTCAAAAGACGATCTGCCAATACCAGATTTCGCAACCTCTCAACATTAGCTGCACTCCGAGCAGTTTGGGACCTGCCACAACGCTGCTCACTCTCTGCTGATGTGCGGTCATCCTTGAATCTGTTGAACCACTCTTTAATTTGTGTTACACCCATCGCTTCTTCTCCAAACACCTGTTGAATCTTACGAATTGTTTGGCCAAGCTTTTGATGCAGTATCTTTGCTCAATTCGTTCAGTCATCTTGCGAGAAAACTAAATCCGACGAACACTACGAACAGCATCTTACTTGGCGACCACCAGCCAGCGACTTGCACTAGCGAACGCAGTGAAAAAATTCAAACATGTCCATTAAGGTTCCTCCTTTCACCGTGCACTATGTTATGCCTTAGAATCACTACTTTGCGTGGGAAAATTAAGGTCGGATACTTTTTAGACAGGCCTCGTATAAAGAGAGAGAGAGAGTTGAACCTACTTCGAGGAAAACTTTGGTTATAAAGGTTATGAGCCATCGTTCCAATAGGCGAGAACTGCCCACCGGATAAAATCGTTTGACCAGTCGAGGTGGGGCTGCCAATAGTAGTGCCGTTGCTGTGCACCAAGGCATGTTTCATGACGTAAACATCATTCGAATCAGGATTTTTAAAAGATGATTGCTCTCTGAAAAAAAAATTAATTAAGGTTATTATTAATGAAAATTGTAACCTTGTCGCTGAAATTTTAAAAATAAAACAAATTTGTTAAGTTTAAATCATTAATACAGAATGATAACACCAGTCAAATTTACCACCCTTCTAAATGTATCTCTATTAACTAAACTTATCCTAAATTATAAAACATTTTTCACCTGACATTCAGTCTACCTAGTCTGTTGACCTCTGAAATTCGTCAAATTTGTTTAAGACTATTTTTGAATGCTATTCTAACCCCTTAATAAGTTGACCGGAGAAAAAAACTGTTTACAAAATTTCCTAACTTATAAATGTATTCAAATTTTACTAAATTTGTAAAATGGCCTTAACAGCTTACCTAAACCTCCTTATAAGTTTTACCATGTGGCAAAACTATCAAAGACTTTAGCAAAAAATAGGTTTTAAGTACGTACGTCAAAATAAATTTTAAAATAACGATGGGATATAAAAGAAAGTGTTTAATTGCATATACAGGGTGTTACGTAAAGAACACCTTAATGTGAATTTCTGATCTTTATCAAAATGAAAACAAAGAGAATCGGGAGTCGCAATCGATATAAATTATTTCGCAATTAGAGTCGCAAGCTAATATTTGAACTAGGAAAAAACAACCACGCTATGGCAATCCCGCAAATCACTGCACAGGACAGCAGACTTAATAATCATCAAGACTGGTTGGATTGCTAGAGAGGAAACAAATAGAAATTAACAGACAATCAATTTAAACACCCTAAGCTTCAACCTTTGAATTAAACCAGTGTTTTGATGTTAATTATATTCACTTCTTCTGTCATTTATCAGATTTCGTTATCGTTATTTGAAAAGGATTCCTAAGTTCCATATTAAGGGCAGTCTTTCGAAACATCTTGTGTGTTCTTGTTTACTGAAACTAAAGAAATTATTTATAATGAATACCTGACATACTAGATCACAAACAAAATATCTAAAAAAAAATTTTTTATCGAATTCAAAATGAAATTTTTTGATAAATCGCAATTTATTCTGTTAATTAATTTCAACAGCAATAACACAATTAATTTCATTTCTTAAGATTTAAGACAAGATCTCTTAAGTATTTGGTAAGTAAAATTTTGAAGAAAAAAAATGCAATTACATCATTCATTTTTATTTTTACCATTTGAGAAACAAAGGAATAATTTATGAGATTTGATAGTGGGGAGAAATATTTAGGGGCATTTTAGGTGAGAAGGGGGTGGGAAACCACAAACGAAAACGAATCACTAGAGAAGAGGTCAAAAACAACAAAATTTGTTTGATTGCAGGCAGTACCGGCGGAAGACGTTTTCGCACGTCGGTGGATATTTTATTTTATAACCGTCGTTGAATTGCCGACCCGATTTTTCGGGTTTACGACTACTAATGTTTAATTCCGATATGTCGCAATATGCCGCGATTTTGTTAATTATTATTTTTAAAAAAAAAAATTTTGTCGCCGACTGTCATAACACTATCTCTAGGTTTATAAACATATCTTTAAATTTATTAACTCATTCCCTCTCACATGATTGAATTCACTGCTGTTAATATACTCATTCACTGATCTTAAAGCAATATTAATCTTAAACGTGAAACCTATAGCAATTTCCATCTCCCCCCTTGTTTGCAATGGACTGATCGTTAAGACACGGTTCCCGGTAGATCACCTAAGTCAAGTATCACTGGCTGCGGTCAGTGTGCTAGGGGTGAGTGACCACTTGGATCTGTCTGCGTAGGGACCGAGGGTGTGTGGTATTGGTCCTTATTAAACTGTTCTACCGTGAAGTGCTCGACTGGGACTGCAGGTCGTCGGGCTACCGGGTGCCATCTCCTCTGCAGAGGATAAAAATTGTGATGGCTTGTCTTCGGATCATCCTCAGGGGTGTCCGTCGCCAATATCCCATTGTGCAGCTCTAGTGTGACGTAAATGAACTACAACTATAACAACGTCTACAACCCTTGTTTGTTGAATGATTTAGAAAAGGCAGTTACCCAAATGTCAAAAAAGTTGCTTTTTCTGCCGCACACTCTCTTTTCCATCTGGATTAAAACTTTTATGGAATGTACAAAATTTAAAAAAAAAAGACATATAAATATATTTTTGAAACAAACAATTTTTTTAAAAAGGAAAAAAATTAATAATTTTGAGGTCTCGTTCGGTCCATCGGCAGCCTTGCCTGCCCCTTCTGCCGGCCCTAATAGCAGAATGGAAGAAGGAAGAGTTAAAAAGCGATGCCTCAATCAATCAAACTGGTTTTAATGGCTATTAAGGGTTCATCATATGTATACTTTGAGCCATGATGGCTTAGGGGATAGAGAGTTCTCCTTCCAATGAGGAGAGCCAGGTTCGATTCCCGGTGATGGCTGGTCGATACGAATTCCTCATCCGGCTTGCACCAACCACAGTGCTGATGTAAAATATTCTCAGATGTAGACGGATCATGGGTTAGAGTCCCTTTGCAGTCAGGCCAACCGTGGGAGGTTTTCGCGGTTTTCCTCACCATGTAACGTAAATGCGGATTAGTTCCCTCAAAAAAGTTCTCCAGTCAATTTTCTCCTAATACTTGAAAAAAAGAAACTCAAATTTCTCCTAATACTTAATCCTAATACTTGAGGGGTCCCCTTGTCTTCTGGATTGGGTTCAAAATTACAAGGCTACAGAGTTGAACAATAGTAAACGTAACCCAAAAAAATTGGGTCGACTGTTTAACAGCAGTTATAAAATAAAATAAAAATATGTATGCTTTGTTTTTGTAAGAGAAATGTGCACTGCCCTACAATAATGGAAGAGACACTTTCAGTTTTTGATTTCTTTTTATTTTTAATTTCCCGGGAAATATTCAAAGGATTATTTTGTAACTATAGAGGTGTTAGTTCATGCAATCTTTCGTACCTAGTAATGAGATTTAAAGCTTTCAGAGAGATTAGAAAAATCTGCAATAAATTACGACAGAAAACAAGTCTTTTTAAACACCCTATGGCTGAAAATCAAGCAAAGAACTTGTAACTTGTATCGATTACTTTAGTTGTAATTTTGAATAACTTACGTGCATAAATATTTATGAAAATACTGACATTTTTATAAAATAATTAATTTTTTCGTCATACGTTATAAATTCGAAAATATTCAATAGAACTAGACAAAATTTTCTGAAAAATCTAAAATAATTACTAAATTGTTGATTTACAATTTTGAGTATTTAAGCTAGTTCTTTAATACCCGGTCAAATTATTAGACGCGCTAAAGATTCTGTGTAAAATCTTAATTATCAGGTGAAACTTAACAGCTTTATTGTTTTTACGCGACTGAAACCGGTTTGCACTTGTTTACATTCGTGTATCAGTGGGTTAACATTGTAATGCAATAAGTTAGAAATAAATACAAATAGAAAGTCTATAAAAAATCTCCTGAATAAAAACCCATTACATGTATGTTTAAACAGAAAAGTATTGCATGTAACCTCTTGCGAAATATGTAAATATTAAAACACTACAGTGCGTCTAATTATAATAATATACTAATGATCTAATTATTATAATATACTAATATAACGCTTGATATAATAAATATTTTTTATTTATATAATATTTCGTCTAATTTATCTAATCGTCGAATTTATATTATATATCGTCTAATTTACATGAAACATGAAAATAAACGAATGCAAACCGGTTTCTTTCGCGTCAATACAATAAAGCTGTATAGTATCACCTGTTAATTAAGATTTTACTTAGAATCTTATAGTGCGTCTAATAATTTGAAAAAGGGACTGTATGTACCCAAATTACCCCTATGATACCCTTTAATTTCAAACTGGGACTGTATAACGGAAAAACGTAATATAATAATTAAATTATTTTTTATGAAAATGCCCATATCTCCATAAGTATTTACTCTTGGTTTACGAAACTTTGTGCAGTTTTTCAAAATAACAACTAAATGTCATCGAAACAAGTGACAAGCTTATTGCTTGATTTTCTGGTATAGGGTGTCCAAAAGTACTTGTTTTTTTTTTTTTTTTCGTTATTTATTGTCGGTCTCCCAAGCCTCTGAAAGCTTTAGACTTTATTGGTGAGTATGAAAAATCGCATGAATTAAATATTTCGAAAGCTAAAAAATAATCCTTTAAGTATTTCTTGAGAAATTAAAAAAATAAAATGTCAAAAACTGAAAGTGTCTCTTCCATTATTGTAGTGTAGTGCATATGCTACCGGCAAAGTTTGAAATCCGGCATTCTATAGAATGCCTAGGCATTGTATATAATGCCTAAAACTAGTCGGCAATGTATAGAACGATTTATATTTCACACATTTCCTAGGCATTCTATAGAATGACAAATGAGAAACCGGCAAAGCATAAAATCCTCTGTAGCCATACTAGGAAAGGTGATGAAATGGATTTTTTGTACAATATTTGTTTCTAAACTGAAAATAATTGTGACTTAAATATGTATTTTTTATGTGATATTTTTTTTTCCTTTAATAAGAAAGGCATAAATCATAATAAATTGTAGTAAAATACTTTCATTTTTCTTTACGCATTTTAAATCAATTTTTTTAATAGCGATCTCATTATTTTTTCAGAATAACATTTCTATTTTTGGAAAATGCTCATCATTTACATAACCTATTTAATACTTTGCCTAAATAGCATTTGTCATTTTATAGAATGCCTAATATTATATACAATCCCTAGGGAAAGTATGTAATACTTCTCATATCTCATACCTTGCCTGAAAACATTCGGCATTATATACAATGCCTAAGGCATTCTATAGAATGCCGGTGTTTTATACTTTGCCAATAACATATATAATAAGGATTATCACTATTAAATATGTGACAGAATAAATAATTTGAGTGTACAATATGGAATTTGCAATCACAGTTTTGAAAAATCACCTTTCTTATATCATCAATTCTGATAGATTATATTTGTTTTGCATTTAAAATTTTAATGCAGGAAACAAGTGAAACAAACTTATGTTTTTTCATGACTCCCCGAAAACTTCTTTAAAAACGAAAATAAAAACATTTACATCATCAAAGAAATGCATTGCTTCTGTTAATATAATTAAAACAAAATGAATGTTTGAAAGCAATTAGGGACAAATCATTTTGGAAAAAATACCTCCTAGGAGCTCTATGATCGATAATAATAATAATAATATATAATATGCAATATTCATAATATATAATAATATAGTGTAATAATATATAATAGTATAATATAATAATATACCGTCCCTGGTCAAATTATTGGACTCGCTATAATTTTCTATGCAAAATCAGGTGATAATATGCACCTTTATTATTTTTAAGAGGTTGAAACCAGTTTGCACTTGCTTACATTCGTGTATCAATTGTTTAATATTGTAATGCAATACGTTAAAAATAAATACAATTAGGAAGTATATAACAAATCTCTCGAGTAAAAAATTACTTGTTTACATGTGTGTTTAAATATAAAAGTACAAGGAGGCTCCGCCCCCTGCTCGCTAACGCTCGCCAACCCCCGAGAATTGCTACGCAATCCTATGTGGTTCACGCCGTGAACCATGGCTCGCTGCGCTCGCTCGCCAATGAACACAATGTTCTAGCACAAAGACATAATATATTATCATCAAAGACATAGTATTTTATCATCAAAGACATAGTATTGTACTTATGTAGAAGAATTCTACCAATGTTCTTATTGGCTTTTAAAAAAGTATATTAGCTATTTAGATTGTACATGGTGAAAAAATCAAAACATTAGCTAAATAAGAAACATATTAGCAAAATAAATTATCAAATATTGCTTCACTAATATTCTGCATTTTAAAGCGTGAAAATTCAATGCATAAATAAACGCGAAATATAAAAAAATTCAATGCATTCAATACAAACACTTAAACGTTTTTTAGACGTTTAGGTAGCTCCCAGTAGAAAAATATCAATTCAACAGCGGCCTTTTAAAGCATTCTCACTTCAATTAATTAATTAATTCCTAATTGAGTTTAAATTAAATATTGTCATGTTTTTAGTGCATGAATCTGAATTGAACAACCTGATAATGCTCACTCTGGTTATTGTTATCTGGTTGCTCACTACGTGCTCTTGCGCGCCGAATCCAATCAATTAAAAATGAAAACTGTTGCCAGCGCGAGAAAAGAAATATCATCGGTTCTATTGATACATACATACATACGTACGTATTAGCGTTTTATATAATATAGATTGCCTAAAGACTCGTGTTAAACATTATTTAAAAGCTACAGTGCATTTAATAATTTGCTCTAATTATTATAATATACTAATATAATGCTTGATTTAATAAATATTTCATATTTGTGTAATATATCGTCCAATTAATCTAATCGTCGTATTTATAATATATATCGCCTAATTTAACCAATTGATACACTGGCGTAAACATGTGCAAACCGCGTAAAAACAATAAAGCTGTATAGTATCAGCTGATAATTAAGATTTTACATAGAATCTTATAGTGCGTCTAATAATTTGGCCAGGGACTGTATAATAATGTGTAATAATATATAATAGCATAATACAATAACATACAATAATATATAATAATATAATAATAATAATAATAATAGAAATATAATAATATATAATAATGTGATCTAAATATGAATAAAGGGAATGATGATTATAATGATTGGTCTTGTTTTAACTTAAAGCAACATTAGGAAACTTATAATTATAATCATCACTTTGTCAAAAAAATTTTATAAAATAATATCCTGTTAATGGTGTTTATTTCAAATTATCATTCTTTGGGTCTCATTGCTTTCAAATAAAGTAGACATGCAGAAATAATTCAATTAAAAGTAGTAAAGAAATCAATACTAGCTTTACAAAAAAAAGAAGAAGAAAAGAAGACGCTCATGAACCCCGATGATTGCAATAATTGCCGTTTCTTGGCATAAAACAGATTCAATGTACTAAAAAGAACACTTATCCCACCACTTCCCATGTCCAAATATTTCCCTTATGATACTCTTAAGATCTATTAGGGAACATAAACCATTTTTTTTTGAGTAATCAATTTTTGAAGTAACATTTAAAGGTATATTGTTATAATAAATTTGATGAGTTCGCAACTATAATTTAATATTTCTATTTGTCAAATGAACGGATGTATAATTTCATTACAATTTTTACCTTCATCACTTAGCGCATGAAGCTTAAAGTTAAGTTCTAAATCATTTAACGAATTTCTTTAACAGTAATTCATATGAGTATATTAATGGAATTTGCAGCCGACAAGCCTATGTAGGGGTTAGGGAACTGCCCTTGCATCAGAAAGGTTCTGGGTGCGAATCCCGGGCAAGGCATGGATGTTCTTTCCTTATCTGTACTATCTGTCCTTACTGAGGGAGCAACGTTGGCCCACCTAATATGGTTCCCCTAAAAGAGAGGCAAACAAAATTGCACTGTAAATGCCTGAATTGACGGAATGTTAACACAGGTGCGCATTGGGGGAAAAAACCTGATTTTCAAAAAAAAAAAATAAATAAATAAATAAAAATAATTGTAAAATGGTTTATGAGATAAAAAGCTGATTCACATAACTTTATCTTAAAATGTGACGTAGAATTATGTTATTCTCATAATAATAATAAAATTAACAATCCTTTTCAACTCTTTCAATTTAGAAAACAAACACGTTATTGATTTTAATAACGTAGTAATAACAGTACCTTTAAATTGGGTATGCAAAATTATTTATCGAAAAAAATTACCTTTATGACTTATATCAATTTTATGGTGATGACAGCCAAACCATTAGGAAAATTAATGTGGTAAAACTAGATCCTACCATGTGATATTCGGCCAGTAAAAATGTACCCACAACAATGAAAAACTGAGACATCGTCATTAGATTCTTATATGTAGGTAGTTAGGAAAAAAAATAAAAATAAAAATAATATTTTTAAAAACCACGTTTTTGTAGTGGAGAATAACAATTAAAAAACAAAGATTTGAAAAACGAAAAACGTGGGGCGCATGAAATACATAACAGTAACAGTATGAGTGCTCATGAGAATATGTGTACGTATATCTGTAATTGTATCTGAATATGGATGTATATGTGGAATATGTTTGTGTATATGCATGTGTATCTGGATGTGCATGTGGTTGTGCATGTGGTTGTGCATGTGTATGGGTAAGAAAATGTGTATATGTACTGTTATGTATTTCATGCCCCCTATATGTTCTATAGACTCTTCTAAATTGTCCATTTCAGCTTCAAAATTGGGCAAATCTTTTTCATCGAGGGTGGCATAATAATCCAGTTTCAATTTCTCTAGTTTATCACAAGTGTCCAAAACGTTTTCTAATTTGCATTGAAGCAATAATAGTCCAGCTGTTTCGGCTTTCTCACGAACAAATGTCTCTAATTTGGTTATTCGACCTTTCAAATAACCCTTTCTGCGACTANTTGAAGTCTGTAGCTAGTCGGGAAGTTAGTTTGAAATCGATTTCAAAATTCCACCCGAACAGACATACACGAAAGCAAGTTGATATAAACGTGGTAAAATACTTGTAACGATTATACTTGGAGAGAATTTTAAAGTACACACTCGTTAATGAAATATATGCTGTATGTATAGTATTTTTGTTAATTTAACACATTTAGAAAAATATTTTCATATTAGGCATAAAAAAAATTATGTAAAGAAAATTGATTTTATAAACGTTTCACGGTGTTGAACTTTTTTTTTATAAAAAAAAGAAATTGTTTAAAGTAAAACTTGATTCAGTCACAATAATACTTAAGATGATGATGCCTAAGTCATAAAAGCTGTACTTAACACTTTGTATAGACTAACTATATAAATTCCAGAAAACTAGACCAAAAATTTATGAGAAGGACATTGCCTAAAAACTCTATACATTTATTTTAGAAAAGTCGAATAAATATTACGCATTTTTAAAGTATGTTTAAAAAAATAATAAAGATCTAAAACTGTTTGAGAATCCAGGAAAAGGATTCTTAAAATAATATCTACAAAAAATTAGTTACAAAAAGAAAAATTAAATTTTATTTAATACGAAATTTACTTAGACTTTATACTTTTATGTCTTAACTATCTTTATTTCATTTTGAGCTATAGAAACTTCAACTTTCAGCATCACGAAAAACATTTTTTGAAAAAAAATTCTATTATCAACAGACGATTAATACGTACTATTATGAGTTCATTATTAATTTTCTAGAACCATTCTGTAAAAAATAGGTGATGGCATTAATGAGTTAAACCAATTCAGGTACTTACTTGTAAGGGGATGAGCAGGTACTGAAGGAGAAGAGGCTGGTTAAGGGTTCCATGTCTGCGGCAGAGAATCCGAAAGTGTTGATGTTGAGATCAACAGGTGTGCCGCCTTCATCCAGCTGATCTTGGGCTTCTTCTTCCTCGCATCCGAGAGGGCTGAAGGCAACCCTCCAAGGATCCTGTTGCAGAAAGGCAGGATTGTTGGGCAAGTAGCTGCCCCCTCCATCCATTTCTACCTTCTTTTATATCGGACAAACGTCACCTGAAAACATAAGAATGCAAGGCATGGAGTGAAGCTCAAGAGCATCTTTTGTCGTCAGGAAAGGAGCAAAATATCGTTTGATTGGTCCCGGAATTTGAAAGGTTTCCTCCTTTTTGATGGTGAAGGAATGTGTGTTTCAATTACATTCGTTTTCGGTGCCTTTTACAGAATCATTTAATTGTTTTTTGAAATAGTTTTCAGTTTCTATAAAAAAGTTTTTTTTTTTTAAAAAGTTAAGATCAAGTCCTCCATTTATTATTATTATTATTTTATTTTTTTTATTTTATGAAAACGTCTAATATTTTGCTTTTGATCTACACTGTTGTAAGAAATTAAGAGAATTTTCAGACTTGGTCGATTATCTCTAGAACTACTGGACCGATTTTAATGAAATTTAATACGTACATACATTGATACAATACAAAACAAATAATCATTCAACAATTGTAATAAACACGCATGATAGTGCGTAACATTCGTTGGAATCTGAAGGTATGAAATTTCCACAGGAAAATTGCCACAGAAAAAGATAAACTGCCTTATTTCAAGTATGAAATCACGCTGAAAGGCCTGTATATCTGTAAGAGGGGACCATACCCCCTATTTTCTTTGTTCATTCTGCAACCGTTGTTTCATACCTTCAGACTCCAACGAGTGTTGCGCATGATTATGGATGTGTATTACAATTGTTGAATGGTTATTTGTTTTGTATTGTATTGTAGTTTATCTAGCACTATAAAAATACAATTCCAATATAAGACATGCTAACTCTATTCTATGTATGGGTACCTTTTCACAGATGAAAGTTGACATAGTTTATAACTTCTTGCTCCCCAAACTGGTGACCTTCTGACTTGATGTGAACAAGCCTACCTTCCCAGAAACTCCCACTTCGATTTAAACACGCCTATTTCGATGGATTGTCTACATTTAACAGCTGACTTGCTGGTTATGACTGTGACATTATCCACCTCCTCGTACTGTTGCTACTCAGTCTCGATCACTCACAACGTTGACCTGCATACACTCGACTGCTAATGGTAACGCAGGAGCAACCACGACCGTGAACTAATTACAGCTCTCACGATCAACGAAAATACGGTGATCTTAATACAGCTCTCCCGCCTTATCACAAAACAGCAATGAATCAACTAGCGGTATCCGTTCATCGAATTCCATCACAGACATAATTCTGGTCGGGGAGTATTGTAGTGTATCTACCACTACAAAAATACAGTTCCAATTCACTGGTATATAAGACATGTTAACTCGATTCTATAGTGGGGTACCGTTTCATACATGAAGGTTGACATTGTCGATAACTACTCTCCTCACAGTATCCATGTATGCACCTATCATATTTCATTAAAATCGGTCCAGTAGTTCAGGAGATAATCGACCTTAATTTCTTACACTAGTGTAGATATATTTTATTTTCGTATTAACGTATGTGAACTTCGAGCTTGATTTAGATAGATGCTTTAAAAAAAAAAGTGAAAATTACAATTTGTTACAGAAGACAGAAACTTTTAGACTGTAGAGTAACATTTTTCAACTGAGCTGAAAAATATATAATTTTGTGTGATTATAGTGAAAACTTATTATTCTTTTGAAATTTTGAATTTCAAAAAAAAGTTTCACATAATATTCCCTTATATATATGCTACCGTCAATAATCGAAAACAAAAGAATGTCAACTTTCACCTGTGAATGTCGACAATCACATACTCGCTTTGGAGTCTGTCCGAAATATTTGTTATATCCGATTTGATATTAATTTAATCATTGATATTATTATATTTATTCGAAATTTTAATATCTGCTGAAGATAGATTAGGAGAAATATCAGTGCTCGAAGAACCTTTTAAAGTGTTTGAAGAACCTTTTAAATGCAGACTGGTCAGTGGCACTTAACTTTAAAGAAACATTGATGTTGGACATACCGGGCAAATGTATACCGGGCAGTGATACTGAACCTTAAAATAAAAACATTGATGTCGGGCATACCGGGCAAATGTATACCAGGCAATGACACTTAACTAGATCTAGTATATATTTTGGTCACTTACCGAAGCGACTATGTGATTGTCAACATTCACCGGTGGAAGACAACAACAACACCAATTTCGTTCATTCACAGTCACATATTCAAATTGTATGGACAAATTTTGCGCAGGAAAAAAAACTGAAAGTTAAACCAAGCATTTACTATTTTGCATGGAATGGTATAAAAAGTCAAACACTTAAAATGCCTACAAGATATGAAATTCAATCGAAATTCCAGGCATCATGAAACTAACTTATCGGAGGCATGAAATTACTTTGAATCTCCAAAATATTACGAGTATTTTATCGAGTTAAGGTTTTACGACGCATGTAACAACTTTTGCAGAGCTGTATTTCACAAAATTTTATTTAGTTAAAAATTAATCGAATCAAAGGTGTTTCTCAGTGGTACAATTTTGGAAGAAATGTCACATTGAATTTAATGGTTCATCATAAAATTTACTGAAAAGGAAATCATTTTTAATTTCTAAATAATATGAATTTATATTTAGAAATATACGGTCCCTTGCCAAATTATTAGACACAGTGTAAGATTCTATATTCAATTTTAATTATCAGGTGATACTTAACAGCTTTATTGTTTTTACGCGACTGAAACCGGTTTGCACTTGTTTACATTCGTGCATCAGTGGGTTAACATTGTAAGTCAATACGTTAAAAATTAATACTAATAGGAAGTATATGAAAAAATTTCCTAAATAATAACCCATTACATGTATGTTTAAATATAAAAGTATTGCATATAAACTCGTGCAGAACATGTGATTATTGACCCCTTGATATACGAAGACGCCTGGGAGACGTCATTTGTTTTTTATGTCAAAACAATAATTGACGTGTTTCAGACGTCTTCAACACAGAGATGCCGAGGCCGGGAGGTCGGTAGGGTGCTGGGTCCATGTCCGAGAGTTCGTGGGTTCGAACCCCGCCGGCCGAAGACTCCCTGCGTAGTAAAGTGACTGATGCACGTTAAATCTATCGAGTTGCAAAAGTCCTCCATGTTCCCATAACAAATCAATTCCTCTGGGGGTACTGGATTGGAGATCTATCGCTCTCTGATTCAGGTCAAAATTACGATGAATGAATGGATGTATGAATGGTTCCGCCCTATAAACGGGTGTGACGTATGGTGTGGCAGAAGTCGAATTCTTGGCAATAGATGTCGCCACTGGAAAACAAGAGCAATCGCACCCCCTCTGCCTAAACAGGCATACTTTAACAACAACAACAGAGATGCCAACTAGCTCCGGACAGCAAATAAATATTTTAATGTGGTAGTTTATCAATTGTGATTCCTGGTTTAATAAATTCAATTTAGTAGATTTTTATCCCCTGCTACTTCTAAATAATTCGTAGGCATATGTAATTCGCCACTTTATAGTAGTTATGTCATGCTATACCTTTTAAAAAGCAAGCAAAACTAGTCAAATATTTGCAAAATTTAGTTTGTAGTTATTTACCGCTTTCTTATTTATTTCGCCTTGTCCGGAACAGTTGGCATCTCTGTCAACATTGCCGTTGCGAGTTACAGTGCAATCAAAGATCATTTCTATATCAAGTAATTAATAATTCCGCACAATTTAGAGTCTTAATGTTTAATGATATGTCAAGGAGTCTGCAGTGCCTCTAATCATTTGATATGATTATTATAATATACTACCTGATACAATAAATATTCTATATTTATATGATATATCGTCTAATTTAACCCATTGATGCGCGAACGTAAACAAGTGCAAACCGGTTTCAGTCACGTAAAAACCATAAAGCTGTATAGTATCACCTGATAATTAAGATTTCACATAGAATCTTATAGCGCGTCTAATAATTTGTACAGGGACTGTGATATATTTAGAAATAATATATAAAATATTATAATATATTTAGAAAATATTTCTAAATATATTTAATAAATCGTAGTTTTATTGATTATTTTGCGTGGCTACATTCAACAGAATAAAGAAGAAAAGTTACTTTAATGGTCTGTATGTAGGCAATGAAACGCGTTTGTGAGCATAAATAATTTCCATCAAAGTAGACATCAAAGTAATTTTAATGACTCTTACGAAGCTTAACTCAACAGACAGGATGAGAAAATTTTAAATATGCCTTTAATTCCTCTTTATTTAATTTTCACAATTAAATTGAGGGTGGATATTTACTTTATTCGGCAGTATTTTTCAGATATATTTAAAATACCAGGCCGTCACCAAATCAGATATAGAGCGAGAGGTACTTTCTCAATTTTTTTTTCTGTTAAAATTATCCCAATACTGTTTTGCAATCCACAGACTTCGGAACCAGGGGGCAGAAAAGGCTTTAGCCCCCTCATATCTTATAAATGAAAGAACAAAGCCCCTTCTAAGATCACAATTTATCACTTAATATTTATGTAATTAAGCTTAAAATTGATAAAATAGTTCTAGCGTCCGAATTATAGAAACAAGCAATATATAAATAAAAAGAAGAAAAAAATTAAAAGTCAATTCCAACTTAAGTCAACCAAGAAAAATTATATTTCAGTTACTTTTTATTAAATAATTAAAACTTTTTCTTTCATATAAAACTAGAATTAGCTAATTAAATTTAATGAATGAATTAACATTTTAAAAAAACTGTATTAACATCAAGTGTCATCGACTACAAGTTCAAAAAAAAATTTATTTGAATTTGAATGGATGAATAAAAAAGTATTTTATTAACGATTGAAAATTTGAACAAAATATAGGAAGAGTGTGAACTAATAGTAGGAAAAAAACGAACCACCCTTAATAACCTTGATCTAATGATTGGATCTTCACTTTCTAGGGCTCATTCTTAATGATATGAAGGGGTAACCTCAAATAATGTAATTAATTAGCACAGACGATATTTTAATTATTTTTGAACTTATAGTAGGAA